AGAGAGAGAGAGAAAGGGATAGAGATCAGATCTCGTTTTGACGACGGAATTTTCCTGCGACGTCGGTAGTGGAGCCCACTCTGACCAATCGGAAATGAGCGGCACACCATCCTCCAACAAGGTTCGTTTCCCAACTGACTCTGAATGTTAAAGCGACACAAAGACACAAACATGGGCTGCGTAACAGCTTGTCCATGCTAGATCAGATGAAATACAGTGTAGAAAACTCATAAGAAAATTTATGTTCACATGCTCCTACAAGAACTGGGTTGTCTGTCTCCTTGAGACAGTCACATGCGTTGCCAGGACAATGTGGAACGAATCTTCAATTGCTTACCTGCCTCATAACAGTCTTCCATCCAATCAAGGATGAGAAACACTAACATTTTTGTCCAACCAAGATCGGGATTGCAGACGCATGTGCAATCATCTTTGAACCAATCAGCAGTATAGATTACTAACAATTTGTCGGAACAGTAGTTCAAAACACCTTGAGGGGACGTAGTCAGCGCGACTTCAAATCCTATTATGCAAGAGCAGCTACCAGCAATGAGAAGTCAGTTGCAAGCCGAAGTTGTATTGCGGAAGTTGACTGGACAGTTTTTCTCATGAGTTGGGTGAGGTCCAAATAAGGTTTAAGTGGTTGCAAGCCGTGTCCCTGGAGCCGGGCCGACAAAGGGTGCCCCGCATCGAAGAACGTGGGGTACCTGGAACACCATCGCGACTTTCATCCAAACTCCAGGAACTTTCTTAAACTCTGTGCTTTGACCCGTTTGCAAGACGTAGTTTCCATCACATCCGATTGCGATTCTAGAACAGTTTTGATCCCACTTCTTTTTTTTCCAGATATGTCAGGCTGTTCTGAGAAGCCGCTTGTGCCAGAACCGCGACTATAAATACTCCTCAATCCCCATCCCCCGCGGGTGGTTCTCTCTGCTTCTTTCACCAGAACGTCTCAGAAGTTGGACTTCCCATCGCGCTTCGACAACAACAACCAACGCTCTCAACAAACCTTCGATCGACACACGCACGTTCTACGAAAGCGATATCGTTCCGACAGAAACAAGTGCCTTCGACACTTCGCAGCGCAAAAGACACCTGACATACTAAGATGGCCCCCAACAAGTTCAAGAAGTTCACCCGTCGGACCGACCGGTTCGACGACGTAATTCTGGACGAGGACGGGAACGAAATCAGCATGTGGAGCGAGGAGGCCCAGCGGCAGCTGGCCAACGGCCTCCAGTCTGGCGAGGACTCAGCGCCGTCGGGCTCGGAGGCCGACCCTCAGTCTCCCACCTCGCTCCCCCCCAGCGGCGGCGCGCTTCCGCCCCCAACGGAAGCCCAAGGGCCTCCGATGGGCCGGAACGAGCGCAAGGCCTTGAAAAAGGCCCGCAAGGAGGCGGCCTTGCGCAAGGCCGCGGAGCGCAGCGTCCAGGTGGGCGATCTGCCGCCCTCGGACTCCGAGTCCGAGGTGGAGGCCCCCCAGCCCGGGCCAGCCACTGGCAGCAGCCAGACTCGTGGGCAGGCTAGCCTGCTGTCCGCCGACGAGGAACTGGACCGCCAGTTCAGTCGGATGGCGGTCGGCACCGGCAAGGCCAAGAAGGACCCCCGTGCCGAGATCAAGTCGGAACAGATGAAGGCCGACTTGGAACGCCTGCGCGTCATCCGGGAGAGGCGCGAAGCCGAAGCCGCGCGCAAGCAGGTACGTGTTGCTGTTTCTGGATGATGACTCGTTGCTAACCTATATCCACAGGCGGAGAAGGAGGCCAAGGCGGCGTCGATCAAGGCAAAGAGCGCCGAGATCGAAGCGAAGCTCGCCAAGGCGAAGTCAAAAAAGACTGGGAAGAAGAAATAAGCGTCCGCCAGACTATCGTCAAGGACAGGGTGAGGCTTACTTGATCATGTATATAATCTGATACCAGCGGCCGCTGTCAGCGTTTACCTTTTGCTTTGTCTAGCAAGCAGACTCCTGGCTTAACCAAAAGGTGTGGTGGCGGGCTGCTAGCTCTTTTTTTTTTTTTTTTTTATAAGTCTCTCATTCATAGGTAGACATCAGCGAGCAGGCTCCTGGCTTAACCAGGGTAGGGTGGTGGTGGTGGGCCGCTTGCATCTCTTAGGTAATTAGGTAGCATCAATACATCAACGAGCAGACTCTTGGATCGACCAAACAAACAAACAAAAAAAAAAAAGGCCACTCTTTGTTTTCTTCTCTCATGAGACTGTCCATCCATCATTGACACATGTGGCTGTGTAGATTACTATGTCATCCTGTCTCGCGATATGATAAAGTCTATGTAAGTAAGTCACATCTATGGCATGCCAGCCAGCCCATCCGTACCAACGGCTTCCTTCCACAGCCCATCAAAGTCGACACCATGCTCGTGAAACATGTCCCTGACTTTCTTCGCCGCGGCAACCTGCCTCTCGGGGGTGAAGCCGCCCGGCTGGGTCGTCTCGAACTGGATCATCTCGACCCAGCGGAAGAACAGCTCCTCCTTGTCCAGGGCAGCCAGCGCTTTTCTAAAAGCTTCCAGCTGCTTCCTCCTCTGTTCCTGCTGTTTGGTGTCACCCTGCCCCAGGTCGATGCTGATCCAGCCGTGCTCCTCATGCCACAACAGCGCCACGGTGCCAAACTCCTCCAGCTCGATTTCCTTCTTGTCGACCAGCTTGGTCGCATCTACCATCGCCTTCCAGTCCAGGTCCCATTCGCCATCCATGGTAACATAGCCTGTCTTGCGCTGCAGAATCATCGGTTGCGTCGCCTCGCGTACCCTCTTGATCACCGCCTCGCGCGCCTCCCGATTCTCCTTGCCATCACGGTCTAGGATGTCCCGGCCCTCCAGTACCTTGCTCCAGCTGCTGCGACTACGCCGCACGTACACTTCCTTCTCACGGAACCCAACCTTCCACCGCCAGAGCGCAGGGCTGCCGCGGCCCGCTGCCTCGCCGGCGCTGGCACCAAACACGAACTCGTACGGCCACGGCCAGACAAAGATGGCCAGCAAAAAGTCGATCATGAAGGTCAAGGTGCGGCGGCCGATGACGCGGGCTAGCTCGCCCCAAGCCAGGTCGGCTGCGCGTATGGTCGTGTGGTTCTCGTAGCCGAGCATGGAGGCCAAAAGGAAGAAGTAGTAGGGTGCGATGACCCACATGCGCCAGCAGAAGAGGGCGACGACGGCGATGTTGACGGAGATGGGGACGAGGAAGATGTTGCGCTTGAAGGTTGCGGGCCGCGGATCGATGTGGGTGATGTAGACGGTGGTTGAGGACTTGGGAAGCGTGTCAGTGAAGGGGGAGAGGGCCTTTGGCGCTGGGATGAAGGGGTGTGGGAGGGATTTGCTGGAGGTCGTCGATTTGGAGGTCCCGGAGAGGCGGGCACCGCCTTTGGGTTTGGCGGTCTGAGTCATGGTATAGGTAGTGAAGAAATGATTAAAATTTTGTCGAGATCAAAGACGAGAACGAGGATCTAATTGTGACCAGAGAAAATCAACAAAAGAAGCAGGACAGAAGGTGGTGAGTCCGGTGATCAAAATGAGTTCCAGTAAAAGGTGAAGGGTATCATTTAAAAACCCAAGAAAACCGGTAGAGCGAGCAGATCTTGCGGTGCAATGAACAGAATTGCGTCGTTTTCTGCCCTCACCCAGCAAATTTATGGTCGATTTTCGCGCCACACTGGAAAAAAGAAGCGCTCGATGCAAAATGGAGAAAGGCCAGATGGCAGAACGAGAGAGGAAAGGAGAGTTGAGTTGTTGAGCTGTTCACTTGATGTCATCAAAAATAAAGTGGACCCTGAGCTCAGGAACCAATGCACGTGTTTCCCATGCTCAACCCGAACCCTTATCTCTCGCGCCGAGCCAAGCTCGCAATCAAAGCATCCCACCAGACCCCATGTCGTAGTCTCTCTAATTTTTGGCGCAGAAGTTCCCGAAGTCGAGCACTGGCAGACGGCAGTGCGAAAGAACTCGGCTGCCACTCAATTGCAACTCCTCGACCGAGGAGAGCCATGCCCCGCGCTCTTCACCATGATGCGACGCGGTTTGTGGCAGCAGGTAGGCGCCAACCTCACTGTACTGACGGTATTTCGTCTTGGACCTTTGCTGACTTTGCCCCTCATGTAATAGAAGCAGAGCCGTCCCTCGGCCTGCCTGCCCTGCCGCCCCAGCAATAGACTCCCTTCGTTCCCTTTGTCCTCGTCTGCTTGCGCATACTCTCGTGTGTCGTCGGCCCAGATCTCCAGTTCTGCCACTTGTTCCTCGTCGAGCTCGTTTCCCAATCTGGTTGCCTACAACAGAGCAACCAAGGCGTCCCCTTCTTTTGCTGGAAATGCCCTCAGACCGTACTCTACCGCTGTGCTCGGGGGCTCCGCGCATGGATCGTGTCCTGCCGTCAGCTCTCTGAGCTCTGCGGGTCGTTCGGGTCTTGTCGCTGTACAGCGGCGCACCATCTTGACCGGAGGCCTTCCGAGCTGGGCTACCCAGAAACCATCCTCTGCGCCAGCATCGACCCCAGCTCCTGCACCGACTCCCTCGTCTACGCCCGTACCAAGCAGCGACGGTCTGCTTCCCCACGAACTGGCTGCCAAGGCGAAGTTGGCCCGTCCCCAACCTATACCGGCTGCGACCCCCGATGATGGGCTGCACCCACACGAACGTGCGGCCAAAGAGAAACTTGTCCGTCCTCCTCAACCGCCTCCCGCTTCCGCTGGCGACGGCCTTTTACCTCACGAACGCGCTGCAAAGGAGCGGCTTGCTGCCGCTCGTCAAGCTCAGGAACAAAACGATCGCGGTTTGCTTAACGAGCGTGTTGCGATGGAGAGACCACAAGCCCCGCAACGTGGGATGCCTAATCAGGATGGTCAGTCTTTGCAGGGTTTGCAGGGCCGCCAGCCGTGGCAGAGGGCGAACGGTCGTCAACCGTACGATTCTGCCACGGCACGGCAAGCTGCACAGCAAGGGAACGTTCAAGGTCAGAACGGCCAACCCGAAGGGCCCTCTGTGATCTACTCTAAGAAGCGGCGTCGCTTTTATCCCTTCGCGCCTGATGAACCGGGCCAGGATGCTCCCAGGCGTAGCGTCAATCTCAGCGTACCTGACCAATCCTCAGAACTCCCTCGGCAAGGTTCACCTACTCAGAGGCCATCTCGCCCTTCTCCAGGCTTTCGCCGGCTCGATCTCAGCCAACCCGATCCGACCCTGGACCAGCCCCGGGAAGGTCAATCTACTCAGAGACCGTCTAGTCCTTCTACAGGATGGCGCCGCCTTGATTTCAAGAGCCCGGACCAACCTTCGAAACAGACTGAGAGCTCTTCAAAGTTTGAGCCGGCACCTTCCCAGCAGCCCAACACATCTGCGGACTCCTTCGCAGTTCTGGACGGTCTCTCTCTGAACGAGTCTTATTCTAAACCGAAGCCTCCTGCACCCCAACGGCCACAAGTTCGGTCAGCTCCGTCATGGTCTCAGGAGCGTACTCCTTCATCAGCCCCGGGGGGTACTCCGAAATGGGTTCAGGGAGCAACTCCGGCTTGGGCTAAGGGGGGCGAGCCTGGCGTGGTGCGGTTTGTGGGAGTAGAATCCAAGGCCGACACGGAAGGCTTTTCCGAATGGAGTCTGCTCCGGAAGCGTCAGAAGAGGATGCCTCATATTGACTTTTCCAGGCCGCTGGACCCTACACAGCCCCCTCCTCTCCCTCCAAACTATGCTACCTTGGTACAGTCCCCCGAGGAGCAGTGGAAGGTGCTGGAGGAGCGCATAATTGAGAGCGAAATGCAAGCGAATGCTGCCGCTGATGCCGCTGCTAAGGCATCGTCAAACGCTTGGGATTGGGCCGAAGATCACATTAAAAAATCACAACAGCAGAGAGCTGAGTCTCAAGCTGGGTCTCAAGCTGGGTCTCAAGCTGGGTCTCCAGTCAAGCAGATCGAGGCGGATCTGGAGGTGGGTGAGGATAAGATCTTGCAAAAGGTCAAGAAACAGGCTGCGGAGATCATGCAGCCCCGCGCGGTTTCGGAAAAGCAAAAGAAGTCCAAGTCTCAACGCAGGAGACGAGACTTCGATGAGGACGACGACTTTGATCCGGACGAGTACTACGCGGAGAGGGAACGGAGGAAGGCCAGGAAGGCCGAGAAAGAGAGACAGAAGATGGCTCAGAGGCAGGCTCAGCCCACGCCCATCTTGCTGCCAGAGTACATCTCTGCGGCCAACCTGGCCGAGGCTCTCGGTATCAGAACTGACGATTTCATCAAGCAGCTTATGGAACTTGGCTTCGAGGAGGTCACCAAGGACAGCATCCTCACGGGCGAGACAGCCGCTCTGGTGGCCCAGGAGTACGGCTTCGAGCCGACGGTCGAGTCGGGTGAGGACGAGGACCTCAAGCCGCGCCCACCGCCCGAGGATCCTTCATCACTGCCTCTGCGGCCGCCCGTCGTCACCATCATGGGCCACGTCGATCACGGCAAGACAACGCTCCTGGACTACTTGCGCAAATCGTCCATCGTGGAGCAGGAGCATGGCGGCATCACCCAGCACATCGGTGCCTTCTCCGTCAACCTGTCCTCCGGCAAGCAGATTACTTTCTTGGATACACCCGGTCACGCGGCATTCCTATCCATGCGCCAGCGCGGCGCCAACGTAACTGATATCGTCATCCTGGTCGTCGCCGCCGACGACAGCGTCATGCCGCAAACCCTAGAGGCCATCAAGCACGCGCGCAACGCCAACGTGCCCATCATCGTCGCCATCAACAAAATCGACAAGCCCGAAGCCAACGTCAACCGTGTCAAGGCCGACCTTGCCGCCCACGGCGTCGAGATCGAAGACTTTGGCGGCGACGTCCAGGTCGTCTGCGTCAGCGGCAAGACCGGCCAGGGCATGGAAGACCTCGAGGAGAACATCTTGCTCCTTTCGGAAATGCTCGACATCCGCGCCGAGCGCGACGGCCCCGCCGAGGGCTGGGTCCTCGAGTCGACTATCAAGCCCATCGGTCGTGTCGCCACTGTCCTCATCAAGCGTGGCACGCTCCGGAAGGGCGATTACATCGTCGCCGGCTTGACCCACTGTAAGGTGCGCCAGCTGCGCAACGAGAATGGTGTCGAGGTCGATGAGGCGCCGCCTGGTACGGCGGTCGAGGTGCTCGGCTGGAAGGACCCGCCAACGGCGGGCGACATGGTGCTGCAGGCACCGGACGAGCAGCGCGCTAAGGCGTGCGTGAGGTATCGTGAGGAGTTGAAGGAGCGTGCGGAGAATGCTGCGCAGCAGGAGAAGATGGAGCGGGAGCGGCGGAAGCGAGAGGCCGAGGAGCAGGCCGCTGCTGAGCAGGCTGGCGAGGAAGGCGCTGCTGCTGCCGATAATAATGGCCAGGAGAGTAAGGAGGCTGAGCCAATGCTCAAGCATCTTAACTTTATCATCAAGGGCGACGTTCATGGCTCGGTCGAGGCTTGCACGGCAGCGTTGCTGGAGCAGGGCAATAACGAGATTCGGCCGCGCGTGTTATCGGCTGCACCGGGCCAGATCACCGAGTCGGATGTCGAACATGCCGAGGTCTCGGATGCGATTATTGTCAACTTCAATAACGAAATTCCTAGCAAGATCAAGAGGATGGCCTATGATGCGGGTGTTAAGATCCTGGATCACAACATCATCTATCACTTGGTTGAGGATGTTAAGGACAGGCTGGCGGATGCCCTGCCACCGCTGGTGGTGAAGAAGGTAGTTGCCGAGGCGGATGTGCTGCAAATCTTCCAGATCAATATTCGCGCTCGTATCTACAAGAATATTGCTGGATGTAGAGTCACGAATGGTGTTGTTAAGAGGGGAGGCAAGGCTAGAGTTATTCGCGACGGCGAGGTCGTTTATGAGGGTAAGCTTCCCCTAGTGGTGCTTGTTTGTATTAAGAAAGAGATTAAGAGAGAGAGAGAGAGACAGAGACGGATGCTAACATATTTCTGCAGGCATCATTGAAACGCTCAAGCAGGTCAAGAAGGACGTGACGGAGATGAAGAAGGGCCAGGAGTGCGGTATGTCATTCAAGGACTGGGACGAGCTCAAGGAGGGCGACAAGATTCAGATGATCGAGGAACAGCTGGAGAAGAGAAAGTTGTGAGGGACGTTTTTTTTCTCTTCGCCCTTGTCTTTGGTAATGTAATTTGAAGCATGTGACTCAGTGTATACTAGAGATATCAAGGGAAAAGGGATAGACTTGGAGTCGGGTACGTTTGACTACGTGTACGAGAGGCAGCGGGGGGAGAAGGATTTGTACGTCACGAGAAGGGGAGTAACATCTTTCCTGGGTTATGATGTCCAGAGATGGGCATAAAAGTCTACCAATTCATACCATCTAAGCTACAACGTTGCTCAATCTAATGTCTGCCCCGAGCCAGGGCCTGAATTACCATCTCTTTGGAGCGTTCGCTCCTCCCGATGAAAACGCCAACTTTACCGCGGCCGCCTTTTGCCTTTCCCTCTCTAGCCTTTGCAATCCAATCCTATCCGTCATTGGCGTGGCATTGATGATGTTGTCGAACTCATCATCGCCGCCTTCGATCCCACTGCTGTTTTCATCGTCCGACCCGTTGTCCGAGTCCGGCTCGGCATCGGAGTCGGGCTTAAGTAGCGGTTCTGGCCGCGGGATAGTGATGACGGTCCCCTTTTTGTCCTTCCCCTTATCCTTCATGTCCGGGCCTCTTTCCATCTCTGGCTCGGAAGGCTGTGGGTTGGCGAAGGGCTTCGAGGCGAGGATCTTGCGACGGATAGCCTCCATCTCGGCGTCTTCGTCTTCGTCATCCTCGGAGTCTGAGGGAGGTAGGTCGTAGCTGTTCTTCTGCGGAGGGGGCTGCTTAGGAGGGGGTTTTGAGCCGAGGTAGATGCCGTCGAGTGGCGGGAACTCCTTGTCCTTTTCGTCGTCACTACCCTCCCCTTTCTCTTCTTCATCCTCGTCCTCGTCATCTGACAGGACTGGCGCCCGCCGATTGACGTTCCCGCTCGCCCAGATATCCTCATCCTCCTCCCTATTCTCCGCATACTCCCGGTCTAGCCGGTCCATCCACTCTTGCTCAACCTTCTTAATCGCTGCCTCGTTCTCACACGCAGCATACTTCTTCAACAAACTGGCATTAATCTCCAAGAATGCCTTTCCATACGAAAACGGCGCCAGCACCTGCTCAGCCCAGTCCAGATGCCCACAAATCGCAAACGCCGCCGCCAGCGCTTCGACGCAATTCAACCTCCACGGCTTGCCGTAATTCACCGTATTCGCCGCGACGAGGTACGGCAGCAACCGCTCGCATTTCCCTCCCACTTTCGACCACTGTACCTCGCCCGTCCTTGCCCACGAGCACTCGACCACCGCGGCACCGTGTTGCTCGAGAAGCGGGGCATCGGCGGGGGACAAGACGTGCTTCCCGTTGGGCGTGATGACAACGCCGGCGTGACGCTGGCCCTGGCGCAGCTCGCGCATCAGGCCTAGCTTCATGAGCCGCTTGCCCGAGCAACGCTTCGGGTCGCAGTGGCCTAGGTCCCAACAGGCGGCTTTGAAGGCTGGGCGGGTGGGTAGACCGGAGGAGGAGCCTTCGCTGTTGGGGTCGTCACCGTCTTTGGAGTCGTCATTGCGGTCCGGTTTCGGGGGGCGCGCGTAGCGCGGGACGCCGCGGTGTGGGTGCTTGCCTTTGGAGGAGAAGTTATCTTTTTTGTGGCGGACCATTGTGAGTAGCTTAATATTGTCTTTTTATATGTATATATATATATATATTTTTTTGTTTTTTTCCTGATGCAGAGATGGGCGACTAAGTCGGTAATAGTGGGACTTGATAGCTGTATCGAGATTTCTCAAGGTTTAGATTGATGATTGATGTTGAAAATTGGCAGAGTTTGTGCAAAAAGATTGTCCCTGTTGTTGGGTAGACCGCGATTAGTTCTCCTGTCAAAGAGTGAATGTGAACAGCAACTTTCAGAGAAAGTTTGTATGGAGGGGCACATTCGCCCCGCTCTCTGCGAGCCCCGCCAATCTACATGACAGGGGAGCTAAAGTGACGTGATATCTGGCCAGCCAGGGTTGTCTGTGGAGTATGCATGAACCGGGGTCTCGGATCAGGCCGCTACGTACCGGAGCGAGCTGTAACCCTGGCCCTGACCCTGACCCTGACGTTGTCACGACGGTCTCTCTCTCTCTCTCTCTCTCTCTCTCTCCTCACTCCTACCTACCTTACCTT